AAAATTAGTCTATATATGTATATATATATGTGATTGCATATGTATATATACATATGTGATTTTGATCAGCCTGTTTATAAACTATTTCCAAAATAAGTTGACCTGTAAATTCATTTATTAAATGAGTAGCTTATAAACTACTTGATTTTTGCAAGTAGTTTATAAACAGCCTGACCAAACTGAACAAATTTCTTTAAAAATTTCACTGTGGAGAGAGATCCAAGATGGCTGATCACTAGCAGCTTGGGATTGTAGCTCCCAGTGAAAACGCAAAGAACAAGAGGACGCCACACCTTCACATGAATTCTTGTTGCTCACGCACCTGGAGATTCCCAGCGGAGGAGCCCCATGGGTCACCAGCGCGACTCTTGTGACCAGCGAGGCGGTTTTGCCGGTGCCTTGGAGCGTCGGTTCTTGGTGCAGAGTCAGAAAAGCACCATCAATCTTAACACCGCTGATTTAGTCAGCGCGGTGGGTTGCTCAGATTTCGGCGCTGAGAATCAGTAAGTTGGACGTCCACTCAGAAACCCAATTACAAAGACGGTAATTATAAAGACCACAGATGGATAAATTTATAACGAAGGGAAGAAAACAGTCAAAAAAGGCTGAGAATACCCAAGATCAGAACTCTTCTCCCTCAGCAGGGGATCCCAGTTCCTCATCAGCAACGGAACAAGGCTTGATGGAGAACGAGTGTGTTCCAATTACAGAAGCAGGCTTCAAAATGTGGATAATAAGAAACTTCTGTGAATTAAAAGAACTTGTTTTAACCCAATCCAAAGAAACTAAGAACTTTGAAAAAAGGTTTGACGAAATGTCAACAAGAATACAAAATTTAGAGAGGAAAATAAGTGAATTGATGGAGCTGAAAAACACAATACGAGAACTACGTGAAGTATGCACGAGTTTTAACAGCCGAATTGATCAAGCAGAAGAAAGGATATCAGAGGTCGAAGACCAACTCAATGAAATAAAACTAGAAGACAAGATTAGAGAAAAAAGGATAAAAAGGAACGAGCAAAGTCTCCAAGAAATATGGGACTATGTGAAAAGACCTAATCTACGCTTGATAGGTGTACCTGAATGTGACGAAGAGAATGAATCCAAGCTGGAAAATATGCTTCAGGATATTATTCAGGAAAATTTTCCCAACTTAGTAAGGCAGGATAATATTCAACTCCAGCTAATACAGAGAACACCACAAAGATATTCCTCAAGAAGAGCAACTCCAAGGCACATAATCGTCAGATTCACCAGGGTTGAAATGAAGGAGAAAATACTAAGGGCAGCCAGAGAGAAAGGTCAGTTTACCCACAAAGGGAAGCCTATCAGACTTACAGCAGATCTCTCAGCAGAAACCCTACAAGCCAGAAGAGAGTGGGGACCAATATTCAACATCCTTAAAGAAAAGAACTTTCAACCAAAAATTTCACATCCTGCCAAACTAAGCTTCATAAGTGAAGGAAAAATAAAGTTTTTTGTGAACAAGCAAGCACTCAGAGAATTCATCACCACCAGGCCTGCTTTACAAGAGCTTCTGAAAGAACCACTACACATAGAAAAGAACAAACAGTATCAGCCTTTCTAAAAAATACCAAAAAGTAAAGAACATCAATATAATGAAGAATTTACATCAACTAATGGGCAAAATAGCCAGCTAATATTAAATGGCAGTATTAAACTCACATATATCATTATTAATTCTAAATTTAAATTGATTAAATTCCCCAATTCAAAGACAGACAGGCAATTTGGACAAAAAACTAAAACCCATCAGTATGCTGCATCCAGACCCATCTCACATTCAAGGATACACAAAGACTCAAAACAAGGGATGGAGAAATATTTACCAACCAACCAGAGAGCAAAAATAAACAAAAAGCAGAAGTTACAATTTTTGCCTCTGATAAAATAGTCTTTAAAGCAACAAAGATCAAAAGAAGCAAAGAAGGACATTATATAATGATAAAAGAATCAACAGAAGGACATTATATAATGGTAAAAGAATCAACGCAACAACAAGAAGAGCTAAAGATCCTAAATATATACGCACCCAATACAGGAATATGCAGACATACAAGACTTATAAAGAGACTTAGACTCCCACACAATAATAGTGGGAGACTTCAACATTAATATTAGACAGATCGATGCGACAGAAAATTAACAACGATATCCAGGACTTGAACTCAGATCTGGAACAAGTAAACGTAATTAACATTTATAGAACTCTCCACTTTACACAAAATATACACTCTTATCAGTACCACATCATATCAACTTAGAAGTTTAAACGAAATGTTGGTTGGCTCCTTGTTTGTTATTCTCTTCCCTCATTTTCTTTCATGTCTCCATTATTAAGGACAATTATAGGCATACCCATATTTAGACTGCATTCTAGCCCGGGCGACAAAGCAATACCCCCATCCTCTCTCCCTCTTCCTCTTTCTTCCTCTTCTTTATTCTTTTTCTTATTACTTTTTTCAAAAAAAAATTTCACTGTATAGATAGCAAGTTATTTACTATTATTAGCATATCTTATTTTTACCTATCCTTTAACAAGCATCTAAAACTGTTTTATGTCCACAGCTACACACTGAAACAACACTTTGTCACAACAGATTAAATTCACATTTAAAACTATAAAGAGATCCAGTTACCTTTAGTCTTACATGTACTTATATATATACTTTTAATATACTTCTTGATGTTTTATGATGCACAAACATGCAGCTCTTGCAGGATATATAACTATGAAAATATTTAGACTGTATGCTTATTAAATGGTGCAAACTCTTTTTAAAGAAAGTCTATTTTAAGAACTTAAGCATACAATAAAGTACTCCTTCCATGCCCCAATGTTAAAAGATGTTTATTTTAGACCACCTGTTTCAAAAAAAAAATCTAAAATTGATAATTCTGCTTAAATTCCATATTAACCTAGGATCAAAAGTTATTTTTAGTTCTTTTTTTTTTTTGGAGACGGAGTTTCGCTCTTGTTACCCAGGCTGGAGTGCAATGGCGCGATCTCGGCTCACCGCAACCTCCGCCTCCCAGGTTCAGGCAATTCTCCTGCCTCAGCCTCCTGAGTAGCTGGGATTACAGGCACGCGCCACCATGCCCAGCTAATGTTTTGTATTTTTAGTAGAGACGGGGTTTCACCATGTTGACCAGGATGGTCTCGATTTCTCGACCTCGTGATCCACCCGCCTTGGCCTCCCAAAGTGCAGGGATTACAGGCTTGAGCCACTGCGCCCGGCCAATTCTTGTTTCTTATACTTGAAATGTGCTGCTGCATCATGTTTTCCTTATATATTTAATCATTCAACTAACATCAGGTGGAAGGTACTTACGAGTTTAAAAATCCTTTCCCAAAGTGGAAATAACATTAAAATTTTGCATAAAAGGCACTCAATGTTTCTCAAAGGGTAACTGAGAGTCTAATCAGCCTATTAACTTGGTTCAGAATAACCACCACCAACAAATGTGAACTTTTTGTCACATCTATGTGTTTTCCCCTATAAACTACTGTAATACCTACATTTTAAATGCCTTTTCAAAATGTTTCATTTGGGCCGGGTGCGGTGGCTCAAGCCTGTAATCCCAGCACTTTGCGAGGCCGAGGTAGGTGGATCACGAGGTCGAGAGATCGAGATCATCCTGGTGAACATGGTGAAACCCCGTCTCTACTAAAAATACAAAAAATTAGCTGGGCATGGTGGCGCGTGCCTGTAATCCCAGCTACTCGGGAGGCTGAGGCAGGAGAATTGCCTGAACCCAGGAGGCGGAGGTTGCGGTGAGCCGAGATCGCGCCATTGCACTCCAGCCTGGGTAACGAGCGAAACTCCGTCTCAAAAAAAAAAAAAGAAAAAAGAAAAAAAAAAAGAAAATGTTTCATTTGGCCATGTGATAATTATTTCCCCTGTAAAAAGCTACAGGATTTTAGTTTAAGAGCAAATGAGATAGATTATCTGGTCCTTGAGAAGGCTAAGTGGAAAGATCAGCACCCTGAAATTTGTAACCAATAACAAGACAAACTCCAATGCTACCTTGTTCATGTAATTAACAATATGTGAGTAGAAATAAATTAACTTGCCTAGGAAAATTTAATGCGTTAAAATAAAATGTAACAGACAAACCAATTACAACATAAAAAAAAAAAACTAAAATGATCCGTAACACAAACAAATCACTCAGGTTTAGCAAAACATGTGTTTTCAATCTGTTGGAGGTATCCTATTATACTAATAAGCAACAACGTTTAAGTCATCCCAATGCCTAAAACACCACGATACACATACTTGTCCTTTACTCTGATGAAGCTTAAACTCAGACCCAAACTCACACCATTTTCCCCTCCTGGCACACTGAAATATACGAGGGGAAATCAAAGAAATCAGATTATGTTAAGTGCCGGTATTTTCTTCCAGAGTAGGGTCAAACTCGTGTTTGCGCGCAAATGTCACGGTCCCAGGAAGTCTGCAAATTCTTACTAGAGCTGGAGTACAAACAGGCCTGACCACAGAAACACCCGTCCTAGCACCAGGAAGACCCTGAGTCGGCGCTGGCCCCAAAGCCTGGGCTGCAGCGATGGTGGGCAAGAGGTGGCCGCTGGCCTCGCGGGTGCGGCGGACAGGGTCCCACACCCCCGGCCCGCCTCCCAAGAACCAGGAAACCTGTCAGGCCGGCTGGGATCCACCCTCCTCAGACCCTCGCGCTCCAGCCCAGCGCAGTCCCCGACCGCACCGGCCTCCCGACTGCATTGTCACCTCATCCCTCCCTGGCGACCTCGAGGCCCCACCACCTTCGCCGTGCAGCCTGGGCTTGGGCTGACTCCGGGGCAAGAGCGCCCAGCCGCCGCCTCCCGCCCGGCCCCAGCCCTTTCCCCCGCGGCCCGGTCCCCGCCAACCCCAGGCCCGAGCTCCCGCCTCGCGCTCCCTATCCCCAGCCTCCGCCCTCGCCCCGCGCGGCCGCTCCCAGCCCACTCCCCAGCCAGCTACCTGGAAGCAAGGGCGGCAGAGCACTTCCCCCAGGGCCTCGGGCTGAAGAGAGCCCGGTGCTCGGGGTCCCGCTCCTTCTCCCGCTCCGCCACCGCCGCAGCACCCCAATGGCTCGGTCGCTTGCTCCAAGCCCGGCCGCCACACACCTGCTACCCAACTGCCGGGACAAGAGTGAGGCAGGAGGGGCCGAGGGCGCGCGCAAGCGCGGAAGGAGGGGACGTTGCGCGCAACCGCCAAGAAAGCTGAATTGGCCCGTGGAGACTGTGGCAGCACAGCCCGGCGCTCGTGGGGGGCGGGGCCAATGAGGGGGCGGGGCCAGTGAGGGGCGGGGCCTGGAAATAGCGTAAAGAGAAAAGAGAAACTTTTTCTTTCAGAAACTCAGGCAGAACAACTAAGCCAAAATATGTTTAAAAAGGTTTAAAAAGAAAAACTATAAAGTAAAAGAGGAGGGAATTGTGGGAAGTAGAAAAGTTCCTACGGTCCCAGCTCCACGGGAGGTTAAGTGGGAGGACTGCTTGAGCCCAGGAATTCAAGGGTGCAGTGAGCTATCATTGTGCCACTGCACTCCAGCCTGGGTGACAGAGGGAGACCCTATCTGTAACAAAAACAGTTTGAGGCCAGATACAGTGGCTCATGCCTCTAATCCCAGCACTTTGGGAGGCCAGGGCAGGTGGATGACTTGTGGTCAGGAGGTCGAGACCAGCCTGACCAACATAGTGAAACCCGGTCTCTACTAATTAGCTGGGCGTGGTGGCACGTGCCTGTAATCCCAGCTGCAGGTCTGCCCCACCATGCTTGACTAATTTTCTTACATTTCGTACAGATGGTGTCTTGCTCTATTGCCCAGGCTGGTGGTCTCAAACTCCTGGCCTCGGATAGTGTCAGAAATAGATGTTAGAAACAGATGCTCGGCCAGGCGCGGTGGCTCAAGCCTGTAATCCCAGCACTTTGGGAGGCCGAGACGGGTGGATCACAAGGTTAAGAGATCGAGACCATCCTGGTCAACATGGTGAAACCCCGTCTCTACTAAAAATACTAAAAATTAGCTGAGCATGGTGGCGCGTGCCTGTAATCCCAGCTACTCAGGAGGCTGAGGCAGGAGAATTGCCTGAACCCAGGAGGCGGAGGTTGCGGTGAGCCGAGATCGTGCCATTGCACTCCAGCCTGGGTAACGAGAGCGAAACTCAGTCTCAAAAAAAAAAAAAAAAAAAAAAAAAAACTGAGACAAAGGCTCTTTCAGCAACACAATTTTTTACTTCCTGGACTGCAGGAAGGGTACTCCCGGTAGCCATTGTGTCAGGAGAGAACAATGAACAAAGGAGGAACCAGGTGAGCTGATCCCAGTTCGGTTCCATAACACAGGAAGCAGATGCCAAGGTGGAATTTGATATGCAAGAGATTGGCAGGAAAAAAATTAAAAATAATAAAAAAAAAGGCTGTGAAGAATACAGGAAAGCGGGAGCAAGAATAAGCATGGATGGGCCGGGTGAGGTGGCTCACGCTTGTAATCCCAGCACTTTGGGAGACCAAGGCAGGCAGATCACCTGAGGTCCAGACTTTGAGACCAGCCTGGACAACATGGCAAAACCCCATCTCTACTAAAAATACAAAAATTAGCCTGGCATAGTGATGGGTGCCTGTAATCCCAGCTACTTGGGAGACTGAGGCAGGAGAATCGCTTGAACCCAGGAGGAGGAGGTTGCAGTGACCTGAGATGACACCACTCCAGCCTGGGTGACAGAATGAGCAAGACTCTGTCTCAAAAAAAATCATAAAAATTTTTTAAAAATAATTTTTTTTTTAAAGGCATGGATGGACACTGTGGCTCATGCCTATAATCCCAGCACTTTGAGAAGCCAAGGCAGGAGGATCACTTGAGGCCAGGAGTTCAAGATCAGCCTGGGCAACATGGCGAGACCCTGTCTCCACAAAAAAATAAAATTATTAGCTGGGTATAGCGGCATGTATCTGCAGTCCTGGCTACTCCGGAGGCCGAGGTGGGATGATTGCTTGAGCCCAGGAGGTAGAGGCTCAGCTCACCAAAACCTCTGTCTCCAGGTTCAAGCAATTCTCCTGCCTCAGCCTCCCGAGTAGCTGGGATTACAGGCATGCACCATCAAGCTAGGCTAATTTGGTATTTTTAGTAGAGACAGGGTTTCTCCATGTTGGTGGGATTAAACTCCCGACCTCAGGTGATCTGCCTGCCACGGTCTCCCAAAGTGCTGAGATTACAGGCATGAGCTACTGCACCCGGCCCTAAGACTCCCTCTTAATAATAATAGCAACAACAATAATAGCATGTGCTTCTTCAAACATAACCTTAACATTGCTCCATGATGAGGTCAGGTCTGTGCTCCATCCCTGTGAATTTGGGAAGGTCTGTGACTGGCAGAAGTGATTCAAGGTATATCATAAAAGGTGACACCATTTGTCCGTGGGCTTCCTGGGATGCTTGCTCTTTCACCCAGTCGCCATGCTGTGTGGAAGGCCAGATCACAGGAAGAGGCCACATTTTGATCTTCCAATCAACAGTCCCAGCACAGGTTTCAGATGACAGTCAACATCAGTTGCCAGACATGAGACCAAAGAAGGCTTTGTGATGACTCCAGCACCAGCCGCTGCAACAGCATGAGAGATCCTGGGTGAAAATCACCTACCTGAACCCAGTCAACTTTCAGACCATGAAAAAAAAAAAACCAGATTGTTATTTTAAGCACCCAAAGTTTTGGGGTTATATATTACACAGTAAGAGTAACTTCAATAGCTTCCTTTCCTTCTAGCTTTTTGAATCTCTTATTCACCAAACCTAGTCTCTCTTGGAAGACCTCTGCCTTAATCAACGTTTTCCCCTTAGACCCAGCAACAGGTAGGTTGGGTTTTCCTACTACTCTTCATGGCCACTCAGAAACAATTTCTTCTTCTATTTTCTCTTTTTTTTTTTTTTTTTTTTTTGTGACAGAGTCTCACTCTGTCACCCAGACTGTAGTGCAGTAGGGCAATCTCAGCTCACTGCAACCTCTGCCTCCTGGGTTCAAGCGATTCTCCTGCCTCCACCTCCTGAGTAGCTGGGACTACAGGTGCCTGCCACCCACGCCCCGGCTAATTTTTGTAGTTTTAGTAGAGACAGGGTTTTACCATCTTGGTCCAGCTGGTCTTGAACTTCTGACCTCAGGTGATCCACTCACCTCAGCCTCCCAAAGTGCTGGGATTACAGGCATGAGCCACTGTGCTCAGCCAGATTCTTCTTTTTATTCTATTTCTTCCTCTTCTTCCTCCTCCTCTTCCTTCTCCTTCTTCTTCTACTTATTCCTCTTCCTCCTTCTTTTCTTCTTCTTCCTCTTCTCCTCCCCCTCCTCCTTCTTCTTCTCCTTTCTGCCTCTTCCTCCTCCTCCTCCTCTTTCTCTTTGATAGGATCTCACCTCCCCCAGGCTCATACAATTCTCCCAGCTGAGCCTCCTCAGTAGCTGAGACCACAGGCACATGCCACCATACCTGATTGGTTTCTTTCTTTCTTTTTCTTTCTTTTTTTTTTTTTTCCCGCGATGGAGTTTTGCCCTGTTGCCCAGGCAGGAGTGAAATGGCACAATCTCAGCTCACTGCAACCTCCACCTCCCAGGTTCAAGTGATTCTCCTGCCTCAGCCTCCGGAGTAGCTGAGATTACAGATGCATGCCACCACGCCTGGCTAATTTTTTCTATTTTTAGTAGAGACAGGGTTTCACCATGTTGGTCAGGCTGGTCTCAAACTCCTGACCTCATGATCTGCCTGCCTCCGCCTCCCAAAGTGCTGGGGATACAGGCACGAACCACTGTGTCTGGCCTGAATGGTTTCTTTTTATTTTTTGTAGATATGGGGGTCTCACTATGTCGTTCAGGCCAGCCTCAACCTCCTGGGCTCAAATTATTCTTCTGCCTTGGCCTCCCAAAGTGGTGAGATTACAGGTATGAAGCACTGTGCCCAGCCTCATGTTTCATCTTCTTTAGCTAACCTAAGTGTCTCTGTGTTTTCCAGCACTCTGTTCCCTTGAAGACTCAATCTCCTGTGTGACTACTGCAAGTCCTGGGATCCTCTTAGATCTTTTTAGGTCCCAGGACTTGCAGCAATCACACAGGAGATTCAGTCTTCAATTTCCTCTCTAAGGGCCTTTCACAAAGTGGTGAGTTCATTTGCCCACAGTCCACGTTGCAGCCAATAGCAAAGCCAAACACCAGCTGTGCCTGGATCTTCCTGCATAGCACATTCACCTTGCCTTGCGTACATTTCCTTCACTATATGAGGATGAGAATACTTTTGAGATCATCAGTATGCGTGTTCTCTGTTCAGACTAAAACATATAATAAATAACTCCCACCAAGATGCTAACTTCCTGATGGGTCTATATGTTAAAAGCAGTTGTCTTCAAATCTAACTCCTATGAATGTTTATGCTTCTGTTTATTCTAAAAGTCTGTAATTAGAGACTTTCCAGTATCTTGCAATTCCTCAATGAGTCACAGGGAGTCCAGGAATAAATTATTCAAAAATAATTAGCAAAAAGCTTTGCCTTGTTTTATTTATTTAGTTGGTGATATTTTCCAATATAATTAGTTTCGTTGATATAGAAATTTCATTGATACAGGGTACAATGAGGATCAAGTGGTGGGCACATAGTAAGTGCTCAATAAATGCTATAGCTATTTTATTTATTATTGTCTCTGTGAGTGAAAGAAAAATCCAACACTGGATCAGATTAAATTCTTCCAGAAGCCATGGCTTAAAATAAACTGCCATTCAAAACCTAAAATTATCATATTGGGTTAAAGCTATCCAAAATTTAACTGACCTATATTCCAGTAATTCCACAAAATAGATAAATGTGTGTAGTTACTTAGAGGAACATTTAACAACTGCATTTAAATGTAGATTCTTGGCCAGGTGCGGTGGCTCACACCTCTAATACCAGAACTTTGGGAGGCTGAGGCAGGTGGATCACCTGAGGTCAGGAGTTCAAGACCAGTCTGGCCAACATGGTGAAACCCATCTCTACTAAAAATACAAAAATTAGCTTGGCATGGTGACGGGCACTCTGTAATCCCAGCTACTCAGGAGGCTGAGGCCAGAGAACTGCTCGAACCCAAGAAGCAGGGGTTACAGTGAGCCGAGATCATACCACTGCACTCCAGCCTGGGCAACAGAGTGAGACTCCATCTCAAAAAAAGCAGAAAAAACAAACAAACAAATA